TACGAAATTTTTTTCTCCGTGTATGAGGCGCGTACTGAAAATGACCGCGGTGGAAGGGTTCATTCTTCTATGCTGCAAGAGTGTGTGAGAAAATGCCGAAAAGATGGCCGAAACTTGCTACTTACGGAGATATTGTCAATATGTACGTATCTTGTGCTCTTAAGCGATACACTAAGCATTCATCTTTTGTTTTCGACGGTTATCCTGCTTATTCAACCACAAAAGGTCAAGAAAAATTAAGAAGAAAAAAAAAAAAAAAAACATCAGCCACAATAAATTTCACTTTAGCAATGCAATGTAGGTACGAAAACGCAGGCTGAATTTCTCTCAAATTCTTAAAATAAGAAAAAGCTCATTGCAGCTGTCAGTGAGGAGCAGTTGAGAAAAGTTGGTGTCGAGGTGTTTATTGCAGAGGCCGATGCAGATCGGGATATTGTCTCGTCTGCCATTTTGAAAGCTGAGAGAGGAGAAACAGTTGTTATGGTAGGGACGGACACTGATCTTATGGTTATAATGTTAACATTAATCAAGAGAAGGAAACTAAAAATATTTTTCAAAATTCCTGGAACTTCAAAAAATCCTGGTACTCTGTATAATATCGTGAAACTAGTCGACGATTTTAAGCAAACTAGTTCTTTACTTCTTTTCGCTTATGCAATGACAGGATGCGACACCACCTCCGCTCTTTTCAGGACAAGTAAAATAAAAGCATACAACCTCCCATGGTTAATGATTCTTCTTTACAAAAAGATGTTCTAATTTTTAATGAGTCGATTGTTGATAAGGAAAGAATAGGCACAGTAGGCGAAAAATATTTAATTCATTTTTATGGGGGAGCCAACTTAACTCAAATTTTAGATGAGTGCCGCTTCATAATGTATTCAAGAAAAGTTGCTAAAATGTCCTTAAAATCTAAATTTGAGATGGTGACTCTTCCACCAACATCATTAGCGGCGAAACAGCATAGCTTTAGAGTTTACTATCAAATTCAAGTTTGGCTTGGAAATAGTTCTCTCGACCCGAGAGAGTGGGGATGGAGGGAAGAAGAGGGAAGCGATGAAAGAAAATTTCTATTACCTATTCATTCTACATTAAATTTTGCGCCTGATGATGTTATATAGATGACCTCCTGTAACTGTAAGTCTGGTTGCGGCACAAACTGTAAATGTTTTAAAAAAGGGCTCTGTTGTTCAGCTATGTGTCGTAATTGTAGTGGCGGAACATGTAAAAATATATTACCAGCCGTCGAAGAATTTGAAGAGGACCATCTATAGGTTTTTGCCCGAAATAGTTTTAAGTATCGTCTTGAACTTGCCAACAGCTAACTTTATGTGTCCATTTTCGTTATTTTATGTCATTATTGTTTTGTTACTGATAATTTTTACGATGATTGCTTTTATTTGCTGTTCAATTAATTTTAACCTGAAAATTAACGAATGCCATCAATAATAGACTATATCGCTTAAAAGGTGACATTTTTGTAATACCCATGTAGGCATTTTCTTTCGTATTAAATATTTGTTTTTGCTCTAATTTTTCGTAGAGCTGTGTGTTCTTTCATAAGTAAAACTATTAGGTAATTAAAGATATCCATAAATTTCCACCTCAATCTAATTCTATACTCATTTATTCCTCTTATTCAGTCATGTTTACTACTAACTAAATTTCAAAATGTTTCACTCTCAAAAAAATAAATAAAAAAAGGAAGGAAGCGAAAACGCGTCCAAGTGGAAACAGCTTCATTCAAATATAATGTAATTATTTATAGCCAAACATATTGAAAAATTTATGGTTTTGAAAGATAAAATTTATCTGCAGTTCACAAGAATGTTGCCCTCTTAGAATTGAAGAAAAAAAAAATTCTAGGAGTGGGCTTTTTGAGAAACATGCCGCCATGAAGCATTGAGTTGGGGCGGTTCTATGTGAGTGCTGCGTGTTATTATACGCTGCGCTGCGCCGCGCTGAGCCGCGCTCTGCCGGACTTCCACCCCCCTCTCATCCTCACCCTTTGCTCCTACCTTAACTTCCAATACACCATTTGATAGGAAATTGCGTCCTCTAAAAATTTTCATATAAGTATAAATTCCATTTTTTAATCGATAACGGAGTTATTCCGATTTATTTAAAAAAAATAATTCCATTTCATAAATTTTGAATTTGTTTTAAAATTTTCTTAACGATCTCTTGATAAATTTTGATGACCAATGGTTTCATTTTAACGTACGTATCAATACGAACAATTTAAAAAAAAATTGAGGTGTCTAACTATAATAAGAGCCAAGTTACAGCAGTTTAATTGGAAGGGGGGATTTTTCAACTTTGAGGGGGGCTAGCAAAAATCCCTAGGGGGGCTAGGAATGGGGACTTTTGTGAAAATACGCCCCACAGTGGGTATAATCAGTGGTAAAAATTTCAGCTTGTTACTAATTTGTTCCGCATAAATCCCTTCGTTTACTGGACTAGTAGGAGTGCTAATCCAGTAAAGCACCGCACCTTCACTCCATGGTGTCATAAAGATTGTACGTCTGCCACTATTGTAGTGAAACGAATAAAGAATCGGGAATACTTATGTGAATCCCTCCTTCACAATATGATCAAAATAAGAGGATATTGATAGGTCAACAATGTATTGGTGAAGCAGAGGCGTCTAAATCCTCTCGAGGCAAGGGACAGTGACAATCTTAACAAACTGATGACGCTTCACAAATTTTGAATTTCCACATTCCCAGAGACACGCGCTGAAATCCTGTTTCTCACCCCTCTTTCCGACTGATCTCTGAGTCCATGAGCAAAATAGAAAGAAAATAGGCAAGCTACCTATTACTGTTTAACATAGGTGTTTTTTTCCTTAAACTTGAGTTTCAAAGGTGACTCATGTAAAGAGCAACTAACACACAAGATTTCAGAACCTGCCATTACATTTCACTAATTAAAGACACAAACCCAACCTTACCATTGATATTCTTTCGTTTAGACTGTGTATTATTCTTCCATTGAGATTCGATATGAACTCAATTCAAAAATGCTTCTGAGTTTAATTATTCGGGTAGATTGGAATATGGAGCTTTCAGTGTATCGGAAAAGCTCATTTACTAACATTCACTGCTGTCACAAGATATTTTTGCACAGGCAGAGCCACTTTCCACAGTTGATGCATCTCTAACGCCAAGGCTAAATTATGACAAGTGGTTCAACGACCAAAAATTGTTACACGCCTCAATAAAAATCGTATTCTTGTCTAAAATTACAAATCTTGGATCACAGAGCACTCACCAAAAAATCTCCTTCCTTCTGCCTCAGTATAAGGAGAGTGACGATACTTTGGAGAAATAACTTTGAACTAGTTTCAATAAATGATGGCCTCAGAATTTGAGTCATCATTTGCGAGAGATTGGATCAAAGAAATAAGTCAGCAGGTCACGGTTGTGGCTGGTCTCACACTTTCAGTAGGATAACCAGGAAATAGATGCACGGATAACACTCAAATTCAAGAGCTAAACAGCTCTGATTGGATCAGATTTTAGATTTAATTGGTAGATTGAAATGAAAAACTTCAGTGCACTACTTAAAGGGAAGCAGGGTGCCTTATCTTGAAATCCTGGGCAAATCGTGTGGATACAGTAAAAAAGTTCTCCGCAAATGATGACCTAGTAAGGCTATTACTAAGACCGTTCATTCCGTGTTTTTAGTCATAAAGTGTTGATTAGAGTTGCAAGAATAATCTGAAAAAGCAGTGGTGGGCCAGGATTCGATCTGCCACTAAACACCTTCACTAGAAAATAAGGTCCTACAGTTAGCTAAATAAGGATAAATAAGCCACATATGACTTAAAGAATTACGTAAAAGTGCTTAAGCAACAATTAGTAAAATTATGATTATAAAAAATGTTAAATAATAGCAAAATTACAGCAAAATCGTGGGAAAAGCACCAGATGTGTACGAACGTTATGATAACAAATGCGCCATGTTGCCGATCGCCCACCTAAAAAACGTATTTGAAGTAGAAATTCAACCTCCGGTTCGTTAATGCGGAATGCGAAAACCTAGTCGTTAGTGTAAAATAAGGTTTCAAACACAAATTTCGGAAATCTACATTTCATTAGTTCCGCATTGTTTATGCCGTAATTTGAACCTTGGTTTCAAACTCAGGTTTCGATTGAAGTTAGGTTCAGAGGCGCGCATAAACATAGCTATTTATTATTTATGTCGTTTTTTAGGCGTTATATCCGGGGGATACTGGGGCCTTGGAAGGGAGCTGAAAGATGGAAAGTAATTAGTTATAGCTGGTATGATAGGGTAGAGGCGTAATAGTAGGTGTAGGGATTTATGTTAATATTGTTAAGATTGTATGAGATGAGATAGGTTGTCTTGTATTGGGGTTTTTGATGGTTAGTTGAAGGCCTGGCTATGTTCACGTTCACAGAGGCTCAACTGGAACGGCTTATATTGCTAACCTAGGACAGAGTTGGATTTTGTTGAGAGAGAGGAAGATTGCTATTTTTTTTTTTGGACTATGGGTTCAGGGTTTTGTAGTATTTGAATGAGGGTTGTGGGAAATTTAAAGTAATGAGAAAGTTGGTAATTGAGATCAGTTTTATATTGCAAAACTTTCAATCAACTGAAATGATACATGTGAAAAGTTTGTAGTTATAGGTTTGGAGAATGGTTTGTTTAACTACATAAGGTTTTCTCACATCTCTTTTTGGGAAAACCAGATTGCTGGCAACTAATTAAACCTGTCTGTAGGCACAAGAGATATGAAAAAGTGTGTTACAAATAACAGAAATTGCATGCTAAAGAGTGGTTTTCAGAATTTCATGATTTTTGTGTTATGTACCTCTTGGCTGTATCTCTTGCATGAAAAAGACAAATCGAGCAACATTGCGAAACTTGATGCTCTATCAAAAGATAAGAAAATTTAAATGATTACAAATCCTATCAATTATCAAGCACACAAAGAATATAAATTAATTATTACTACAGCAGAAAAATAGACTCACCTTATTAAATCAGCTATTTCAATTTCCCTCCTCGATTTTTTCTTGAATGTCATACTGATCCTGGAATTGACAAGATAAATGCGAAATAATTTAAATGAAATAAAAAAAGAAATGACTGTTTACAATTTTAAACTTTATATTAAGTTCAATTCAAGGATGGTTCAAAGAATTATTTCGGTTGGGCAAGGTGTCTACAGGCCTTCGAAAAAATAGGTAAATAAGTAAATAAATTCCTAACTTTTTCTCTCCCGACCAAACACTCTAAGCTGAGACAGTCTGAATCTGAATACTTTAATTGATTATTCCGGGGAAAGAAAGAAAGAGAGAAAGAAATACATCCGTACATAAATACATACTCAGTCCGACATGTTATAATATCCTTTCTTACTTGCCAATAAGTAAGATCCAAAATGTCCCCTCCTCCTTTCGATCTCAATATTAAACTTTCAAATTTTTTTCATCAAATCCCTCCTTTTTTAAACGATTTGATCTCCAAAGAGCTTTATGCAAAAATGGCTTTTTCGCCCCCCCCCCCCAGAATTTCTTCAAACTTTTTCTATCAATGAATCATACTTAAGCGCTTCTTTTCCAAAATTTTCAGACCCCCAAAAAATTTTTTGGGGGGGGGGGTGCTAGGGGAGGTGGAAGTGAAAACCTGTGAACCTCGATATCTCTCGAACAAAGCAAGATATCGAGGTCCGGTTTGGACGAAAAATCGTCTAAAATTGCATACTTTCAGATTTTAAAGGTCGAAATCCCGATATCACATTTTCAAATCAACATAAGTAATTTTTTCAGTTTTTGAGTTAAGAAAATTTCGTTTAAATCAAAAGTTTACAAGAAACTCATTTGTATATTCGAACCAAGACCAATTTTTTAATTTGTTCGTCTTTTTTCACATCCAACGAGTAGTCCATTAGGCTGGGGAAATAAACGGTTCCGGAGTTATGAGCGATTGAAGTTTCCGCTCAACGTTTCCTATGTGTTTTTTAGCGCTGAATCCGAATCTGAACTTTGCTACCTTCGACTTTTGCCGCTAAAGCCACCATCTTGAAAAAACATTGCCAAATCTCATTTTTTGTCCAAAAATCGTCAATAACTCGTTCCCTGTGCATCGGATGGCAAATTGAGTTGCAAAATGAAAAGACATAAAATTTTGGTTTAGAAACATGTATCAAAGTTTTGATAACATGCGCATACCATCCGCCAGAGCGCGCTGAAAATAGCGGGACATTTGAAAAAATCGAGATTTTTTGCGGTTCTCTCAAATATTTTTTTTCTTAGCGGTTTTTCGGCAAAAATGGTTAACCTCAAAAATTAAAGTAGATAAAAAATACAACTAGAATCGCTCTTAGTTTTTGGACTAGTGATTGCTTCGACAGAAGTTAGGAGCGCTTGAAGTCGGAGACTCGCACGGCAAAAATCGGCTGCAACGCTGCATCACAGTTCTACCTCATGAGGAACGTTTTATGGTGTCCATAACATTTAATTTTTCTTTAAGACATTGAATCTAGTTTATAATTATTAAAATTACAGATTTGACTCTTTTTGGCATCCGTCCTCCCAAAGCCCGCCCCTCCCCCTCCCCAAACAAATAACAGCCTAACATAATTTTCGCTGTATTTTTATCCAGAAAAACGCTATATTTTGCAGTTTTAGTATTTTTAAAATAACAGAATAGGTACCACCTTTGACCCCTTCTCTTCCTGCTACAATAACATCCTGTAGGTGCACTCATGCAAACATTCATATTTCAAGAGTTAGTGGTGATCTGAACAACTAGATTTAAAATGAAGACTTGAGAAGAAAAAAAAAAAAAAAATTGCACCAAGCCATACAGAGATTTTAACTGACAGTGATAATTGGTTCATACACATTGAACAGCTCCACAGTATCCAGTACTGTCACTCAGCACTCACCCTGTCATTTGAAGAATATCCTCCAAATAGTATTCTCTAACTGGATACGTGAAGCCAGGAATGGTGATGATAGGACAATGGTTGAAATACGTTGAGAAGTTTTCAGCATTCAGGGTAGCGCTCATTAAAATCAATTTCAGGTCCTGTCTCTGCACATGATCACAGCAAAATGAGAATTATAATTAGGAAGGCATGAGGGCAAGGGCTCAACAAGTACTGCGTAACGCATTTTTCTTACTTCTTAGCCCTGCCTACACCTGTAAAAAAACCGCAATGCAACCTCTCAGTGCCCTCTGAAATTAGATTAGAGTAGCCTTGAATCCCCCCTTCCTTTATTTTTCAGAAAATACTGGAAAAAGCCTAGGAAAAATAACTGACAAGGATTAGTATGTTTTGAAAAATACTTCGCTGAGAAATAGCAAGCGGAGGAAGTACATAAACTGACTTAAATTCTATTTCCCTTCATACTTTCCCAAAATAAATATTGTGTAAAAATTCATGAATAAGTTCCTTTCACATAACATTGTAGAGAAAGGTTTCGTCAGAACAGAATTGGAGGCTTAAATGCAGAGATCAAATTTTCATCATTCTTCAAGATGAAATTGTACACTGTTAGAATTGAATTACAATAAAAAATGACATACAATAAAATAATTAACAGAAGAAAAATTTCATTCAGAGTATATATAATGAACTGCAAAAACTCCAAAAAAACTTTCAGATTTAAAGAAGTAAAGAATCAGGCCAAAGTCTTGAACTTAGTGAAACAAATTTTCTTGTTACTTCTGAAAGGAAATGAAAATGTATTGTTCACTGTTAATCGAATATAGACCCCTTCATTAATGAGTGATGCAACGATCATGACTTATGTGTATGTTAAGCCCTTGCAGGAACGGTTCCCTTTCTTCACCTATTTGTATTTTTTAGCAAAAGAAAAAAAAATATAGGTACGGATTAATCTGAGCCTTTTAAGTGCTCAAAGACAATATGAAATATGTTATTGCATAAGGTTCAATATTTCTCGATTCAGGCTGTACATATGTCTTTAAAAGAACAGTATGAATAAAATACTCAAACGCTTGGCTAAAGTCCAGTTTTGAAGCGGCGAAGGCCGAAAATAAAAAAAATGCATAAATAAAAAAAGAGAATTCAGTTCAGTTTTGAGGGACCAGCAGGTTTTTAATTTACAAAGGGGCCAGAAACGTGCAAAGGCCGGATTTTTGTAGTTGATTAATAATTTCGCAGTTTTAAATGAGTGACACATAAGCACCTAAAAGATGCTCGCAACCAAGTGTGAGTTTAAACATATGCTGAGATGAAATATCAGTTAGAGACAATAGAATTTCTGTAGCTGATGAATAATGTCGAAGTTTTGAATGAATGACACGCAAGCACCTAAGAGGCGCTTGCAACCAAGCATATGCTGGGATGAAATATTAGTAAGAGACAATAGAATTTCCATGGCTGATTAATAATTTCGAAGTTTTAAATGAAAGATACGTAAGAACCTAAAAGATGCTGGCAACCACGCATGAATTTCAATCATATGCTGGGGTAAAATATTAGTTAGAGACAATAGCGCGAGAAAATATAAAAAATGGGGGAAATTTTTACGAATAATGCTTGAGCACTTACGGGAAGGCTCGCAGCTAGCACGAATTGATGGCTGAGCTAGGGTACTGTTTTACAGAGCTGTGATAAAAAGTTTGGAAGATATTAAATTGAATGGTGAAAAATGTAAATCCTGAGCACCAGGGAGGGTGCTCGCAGCTAATGTGTATGCAAGCTTACATTAGGATTGCAAAAAAAGAATTTGAAATCATAAGTATGATGGATAGCCACAAATACTCGCAACTGACACGATGGCAAATAAACGTCAGGGTAAAACCATTTAAGAAGTAAGTGAATACATGAGGGTGTAATTTAATTAAGAGATTTGAAAAAGTGGACAGGATAGAAAAAGGAAAGAGAGAAGAATGGTAGTACGGTTGCTCAGCTTGCACATATGACTTTTTAGTGAAAGCTGCTAATGCTGAAAAAGAAAAATTTTTGAGCATCAATTTTTAGCACACTGCCCTTGGAGTCAATAATTATGACAGATTTTTGTGTCCACGTGACTTGTTCTCAAAACTGCTCCTTTAGGGATGTGAATGACCTTGAGGCGGCGAGTGAGAAGATCCGCACTAGTTGAAGGTGCTGCACTCAACAATCACCGTCTTCTCGCTTCTAGTGGGTTAGAACTCTCTGCTGTTGAGCCGGAATTGAACCTTCTTGATAACTTGCTGTGACCTTGATCCTTGGCTTGAGCTAGGCACGATTCTTCATTCTTCAAAAGAATTTCCAAGTTCGAAGTCCAACTTGAGAGAACGAGTCCAGTCCAGGAGCGTTCCAGCATAGAGTAATAGCTACCAGAAAGGTAGCTGGCAGATCCTACTGTAAGATCGCGTAGAGTCACTTTTTCGAAGCGCACTTTGCTCTATTTCCCCGCGAAATTTGAAACGGTAGGCTGAGCGGGGGTCGCAGAGATTTCAAGGATCAGAGCAAAGATGGCCGACTGCTGCCCTTCTGGTAGCTATTATTCTATGGTTCCAGAGAAAATCCTTCCAGTGTGAGTAGATGAGAACAAGTGACAAAGAGTATGGAAGGTTAGAGGCCCGACGTAATGCTAAGAAATTGAAGCAGAGGCGCTTGCAGCGCGAAGCGTTGCCAAGTTTCACACAAGTATTTTTCTTCGGCTTTTTCCCAAGGGTGTTGAAGATGTTCATTTAGTGGGAAGACAGGCATTCTTCCTGATAGGTTTCCAGTTACTACTGGTGCTGGACCATTCCTTTCTATTCATCTTTATCTATTGATTTGGATGGCCCATGTTCAGACATCATAGCCAAGATCCAACCACCTGCTTCCCAGGAATGTGAAGAGGTATTATTTTCTGAGTTTCATTTCTATCAATTTTTAGAAGCCAAAAAATGTTTTTATTTTAGTTTACTAACTTTTTTTTGAAAATATTATTTTATTTTTTTAAGATGGGAGACTTATGTAAAACTGCACTTATCCCCCCCCCTCTCCCCCAGAGAAACACTTAGATCCCTTCCCCCCTAAATGTCTCAAGTAATACATACTTGAACAGCCCAAAAAGAGAAAGGCAATACATAAAACCAATAATTTAATGATCTGTAAATACCTACAAAATGTCAACGAAACTTCCATTTGCAGCAGAGGTTAGGGAGAGTATTCATAACTGTTTGTTAAACAGCTCCCTTCCTCAGGAGCGCTGCATTTGGTTTACATTATTTTGAGGTAGGTTTTAGGGAGGCCTTTAACATAGCAACTAGTGAGAGATGATTGTAACAGACAATCATTTAACTTTGGAAAAAGACTGTTCTGAGGAATTATGGTGACTTCGTCACTAAACAAAATGTAAAATACCTGTGCACACCTTAAATTTTGTCCATGTCATAGAATTGTTTTTTTCTAAATTTGTAGTTTTGGCAGTTACAAATCATTTTAATTCTCTAAAAGAATCGTTTTCGAAGTTATACTGTTGAATTTTACTCAAAATTTGTTTAAATGTTCAAGGAGCCACTTCAGGGAAAGGAGCTGTTTCATGATCAACTATGAATACAGCCTTAAATCTGAAGACGCATACCTCACAACCAGATGGTATTGCGATTTAAGTGAAATTTTGTATTAGTCAGCAGTAGAACAAAGCTATGTAACTGGTCAGTTGTAAAATGAAGCTGCAGCTCCACGGAGGTGCAGGGACCAACTTTGTTTGGACTAGAATTCCCAGAGGCATCTGAGCCAGTCATGTGGATTTTTCAGAGAGTCAAAAATAATGAATGTTCACTAATTTGCAAACAGTAAATCAACCAACATTAAAATATGCTAAATCACTATTTATCGTAGAGATTGTTGAAATCAGTTGTTAATTAATGGAGAGTTATGTCCAGTTTTGTAAAGCGTCCAGCCCACTTACAAACTAAAGGCTTCAAAGTGACTCATCAATTGCCCAAACTTAAACCGCTGGCCGATGAGAGGGCCAGGAAAGGCATCGATGAACCTCTTTGAAGCCTCTACTTTGTAAGTGGGCTGGATGCTCAAGACAGGCAGGGCTCATATCTGTGGTGGAGGCAACCTGTATAGGAGAGAGCACTCCAAAATCAAATGCTGCTCCTGCAGGTTAAGTACAGAGTTATCAGGTTGACTCCTGTATACTCATAAAAAAATTCAATACCTTTAGAGCTCACTGATAATCAATTTTACAGTTTGAGGTAGAGTTTTAAAAGGTGAAAAACGAGAATGTATAGCCATCTTCTATTTGTAGATGGAGTGATCAGGGTTAATAATTTCAATACAAAAACCTATTGTTCCATTATTTCATGACAATCGCTGAATTGAGGAACTAAAATAAAATCTTACTAGTCCTGAAATATGAAAATCAAAGATTTATATTTTAATTTGAAAGCACTTACTTTTGGGATAACATCTTTCAATATGGTGATTGCAAAGTCTGATATTGTATCTCGTTCATGAATTTCATCCAGAACAAGATGCGAAATGTGTTTCAGTGCGGGATCACTCTCTAAAAACTGAGTTAAAATTCCTGTTGTGCAAAACAATATTGACCCTCTCGACCGAGGTTTCTTCCTAGAAATAAAATTGGAGAATGAGAAAGGAAAAACCCTGATGTGCCAGTGACAAAATTAAGAAGTCCAAAAACAGCGAGCACTTCTTAGGATCAATAAATTTTCCTCACATTATTGTTTCCATTTTTCCTCACTTTTTCAGGTGATGAGCAAAGAAAAAAAGAGACGACCTTCTATAACTTTTCTACTGACAATGTTGTTTCATGCTTGCAATGATCTGGGCAAAAGCTAAACTTAAGACTGTCCATGTACATAAATCTTGGAAACTTCAAAGAGACCCCCCCCCCCCAAATTAAAACGCGACTCAACTTGCCGTTCTATTACAATGTGCCAGAGGTTACCCAGCGGTAAAATTTCTCACTAATCAGTTCTCCACTGCAATTGTTACTTTAATCTCAAAACTTCATACTTGGACAAGTGGTCAGGGGTTCAGGGCCACCTGAGATCTTTTATAGTCAAAGGCCTGAGATCTTTATAGCCAAAGGGTACTAAGTCCAATGTTGGACAACAGCTTATTATTTATACAGCTTACATCGATTCATTTTTTCATTTTTCAATGAAATACCTTGTCAAGTCTTAGCTGAAGCATAAGCAAATCATTAAAATGGCCGAATATTCACGAGTCAGAAATTCTCCCCTCCGCATGCCACGTTCCTTCACCATCACCTGCTCCTTTGCCAATTGCTTCCGTACCCACTCTCCATCACCGCACCGTAGTTGGCTACAGCTGATGCATCTGGAACACACTCATGCAGCCGTGGCTTGGGGTCCCTTCAATTCCTCCCATCTATTTCTGCATTCTATAAGCACAACAGCGGTGGGTTAAGGAGGTTCCTGGCTTCTTCTATGTCCTCTCCAGAACTTTCTGAAATGTTCGCGGACTGATNNGGGGGGGGGGGGAAATGGCAATAAGTGATAATTGGCTCTGGAATTTTCTGGAACTCCTTCGAAAATGAGGCTCTTTCCAATTTTGAATTTTCTCAGACTTATGAGAGTGTCACAAGTCACCGATCAGCACTTGTTCCTAGAACTTTCTGGAAATTTCCCAAATTTACTCAAAGTTTAAGTGAGAGGAATGATTGATTACTCTTACAGCATATCAGAGGCTACCAGGTTCCCGAAGAGAGCCGAGAGTGCAGAAATGAAGTTCAGAGAAAATGGGCTCAATAGCGTCCAAGCGGAAAATTTGATTGAAAGAAGCCTCCAATCCTTGTCGAATTGCCACCAGTCACCCAAAATGATTACAGATTGACAAAATATCCAACTGTATAAAAAGGGTCTTTTCCAGTTTGATGTTAGGCAAGACAGCAGTAAGAGCTATCTTCTGCATGCTTTTGCGATTGCGTTTTGACCACACAATAAGCAAATTTTAAGATTAGAAAGTGGCAGAAAAGGACGTCATTTTACTCAAAACTACAGCTCTCACTGGCTTTCTGAGGGAATAATATTCTTACAGCTGTTTCGTCTGAGAAAATGTCAGTTCTTGAGCAATTATGGCTTTCTCATGGGTCTTGTTTCTGTACAAATGGGACGAGTTTTGCTATTTTAGCTGCATCAGTAATTCAATCTAAATAAGATTAGATGAATTTTAAAGGAAACTCGATCTCGAAAATTAGAGAGTTATCACTCTCTTCACTATATCGGCAGTGTGGGGGGAAATAACTCAGGAATCACTTACGCTTCTAATCGAATTTGATATCCTACACTTCCAGTGCCAACTGACTCTGCTCGTTCATCAGCCACTCGATCAGCAACTGTGATTGCACTGATTCTTCGTGGTTGTGTACAAACAATGTGAGTGACGGAGCCATTTCCAGACTCAATACAGTCATCTAAAATAAATTGGCCAACTTGTGTTGTTTTACCACAACCTAAAAACAAACGATGAATAAAAAAGTTTTGGTCCAACTCGTTTTTTTTTTAAAAAAAAAAAAAAAGAAGGAATAAAAGTCTCTAAATGAAAGAACGCAGAAAAGAAAACTGGAAATAAACCCTAGAATATAGAAAAGAAAATGAGACAGCTCCTGGAGAACTTTTCTGTAGTAAGCTATGTGTAGCTCTCAAGATTTGTTCCTATTAACAGAGTCTACTAATGGAGCTTTTTTACTTTAAAAGCAGTTTCTTATGGACGTGTATCATTATCTCTGCTAGAGAATTTTAAAAATGGATTCACGTGGTTTGAAGTCTTTAAAACAGAGAGGGGAACGAAAATATTGGTTGTGTACGTTTTTAGGGCTTCTTACCTGTTTCTCCGCTTATAACAACAATCTGGTTGCTTCTGATTAATTCAATTAGCTGATGCCGCATTTGGTATGCTGGCAATTTTTTCCGAAATTCCAACATTGAATTATACTTTTTAGACTGCTGCTTACTTATAAGCTCAGAGTGATACGCGTCATCTAGTTGTGGATCCCTTTTCAATACCTAGAATAGTTTACAGGATTTCAGGTTTCAAATCAGAATTGAATTTACAATTTTATGCTGCTTTGCCTTTCTTTCAAATTTTACTCTCTGTTTCTTAGGGCTAGTGGTGTTCAAAGATTTCAAGTTAATTTTGAACAATGTTGTACAGGGTGTTTCAGACCACCCGTACCAGGCCTTTTTCTCGGTTGTTTTGGGTCGTACCAAGTCGGGGACCGCGGGGTTGAATAGGGAATTGACCCCAAGGAATTCGAATTTCGTGGTCCCGAACCCCCCCCCCCATGTTCCCTTGGGGGGTTAAGGGGGGGTCGTGATGCTAAAAGTCACGGTTCCCGACCGAATTTTGGATTAATCGCATCAGAATTAAAAAGCACGGAAAATTTCATGTGAAATTCACCCCTAAAAATCCATAATCGGCCCATCCCAGGCCCAAAAATGATCCCCTAAAGAGGGGGACAGTACCCCCCTCCATAATTTCTCTTTGGTCTCAAAATTGACGTAGATTCTCCAGAAAAAGATGGTTTCCCAGGTAATCGACCCCGAGAAATCCAAATTTCATGGTCCCGAAGCTCCTCTAGCCTCCCTTGGGGGGTAAACGGGGGGCCCAATTTTAAGAATCGGGGCTCCTTTCCGAATCGCAAATTGATTGCATCCAAATTGAGGAGCAGAACACTTTTACATCTTACGTGACCCCCAAGAGTTTTAATTGACCCCCCTGAACGGCAGAAAGTAACCTCTGAGGAGGGGTGCTTCGCCCCCTCCAAAAATTTCTCGAGATTCCTCTTTGGTCGCAAAATTGACGTCGATTCTCCAGAAAAAGACGGTTTTCCAGGTAATCGACCCTGAGGACTCTGAATTTTATGGTCCCTAAGTTCCGCTACCCGCCCTTTTGGGCAGAAACCGTCTTTTTCTGGAGAATCGACGTCAATTTTGCGACCAAAGAGGAATCTCGAGAAATTTTTGGAGGGGGCGAAGCCCCCCTCCTCAGAGGTTACTTTCTGCCGTTCAGGGGGGTTAATTAAAACTCTTGGGGGTCACGTAAGATGTAAAAGTGTTCTGCTCCTCAATTTGGATGCAATCAATTTGCGATTCGGAAAGGAGCCCCGATTCTTAAAATTGGGCCCCCCGTTTACCCCCCAAGGGAGGCTAGAGGAGCTTCGGGACCATGAAATTTGGATTTCTCGGGGTCGATTACCTGGGAGACCATCTTTTTCTGGAGAATCTACGTCAATTTTGAGACCAAAGAGAAATTATGGAGGGGGGTACTGTCCCCCTCTTTAGGGGATCATTTTTGGGCCTGGGATGGGCCGATTATGGATTTTTAGGGGTGAATTTCACATGAAATTTTCCGTGCTTTTTAATTCTGATGCGATTAATCCAAAATTCGGTCGGGAACCGTGACTTTTAGCATCACGACCCCCCCTTTACCCCCCAAGGGAACATGGGGGGGGGGGTTTCGGGACCACGAAATTCGGATTCCTTGGGGTCCATTCCCTATTTAACCCCGCGGTCCCCGACTTCGTGCGACCCAAAACAACCGAGAAAAAGGCCTGGTACGGGTGGTCTGAAACACCCTGTATGTATTTATAATTCATCCTAGATTAAAATGCATACAACAGAAGAGATGATTATGTGCTTCTCCTGGTAGGAAGATTTTACCAATGCCGATTTTGAATTTGTTAGTTGGTAACAGTAAGTATGCAATGTAAATGATACGGTATTCATGCAAAAATCTTCCCTAATATAATCACACAGTCTCTGTTGGCTAATTTGTTTCATTGACGATTACTTTCGTTAGCAGTGCGTAACATTAGGACGCGTTTCGTTAGAAAAAAATGTTGAAGATGAAATAAGGAAAAAGAAACAGATAAATGAAAGGAGAAGAGAGAGGAAAAAAGAAGAAAGAAGAAAATGAAGAGAAGGAAAAAGAAAAGGGAGAAAGGAGGAAAAGAGAAAATGAGAGGACGAAAAAGAAAAGAGAAGGAGACAAGGAAAAATTAGAAAAGAAACATGGGACAAAGAAAAGAAAAAGAAGAGGAAAAGAGACGTAGATTTTAGATTTAAACAGATGTATTTCGGCTGGCAATAATAAGGGGTGCAGTATCTTCCAAGTTTCCACGTTTTCACGCGCCCATTTGCCAGCTTTCAACATTTTCCCTATCACTTTTCCACAAAAATTTCTAACCATCTAGAAAATGAGGACCTTTTTCTTCGCCTTTTCTTTGATTATCGACTTTGGACCCTTAACAATTTTTCCTCCTTCAACACTTGAAAGGGCCTTTCCACATTTTCATATACCCGAGTGGGCGCATCATTGAGCATTATCTGCATCCCTGGCAATAATAGGACCATGTAGTCTTATTTTCCTGAGAGGAGGAAGAAGAAAGGGAGAAAGAAGGAAAAGAAAAAAAAAAGAATCATAAAAGAAGAAAGGTTAATCGAAACGATCTCGGTCAACCTTATACCGGTGAATCCTGGAAGATTACTCAATTAATGAAATGATCAATATTTAAAATCATATTTTGTTGCAAAGCATTTAGATCGGGCTCTTCAGTCTCGGGCTCATCGCTAGTAATTTGTATAGGAAGGCTAGGAGTCACTCCTTAAGGATCCTAAATATGCTGTCTAGCACCAAAGCACAACCTATTTAATTCATTAAAACACTTTTTGAAGTTATTTTTTCTAAGATGTTCTTTCCATATCTTTTAATCTTCTTTCTTTAGCAGTTTACAGGCTGATGGTATTTAACGGGAGAATCCGTTTAACCTTGTCGTCATTTCGTCAATTTTTGTATTCAACGACTTTCTTTTTGTTTCTTCTTTCTATGTGACGGAAGGAAACAAGGACAAATTCACCAGACTCTTAGCTGGTTTCAGCCTAATTTTTTTTCAAGAGAGAAATTTAATGTAACTGCCAGTAACGTGTAACCGGGGTCCTTTTCTAACTTTCCAACTGGATAAAATGCACTCAACACAACATGAGACTCATCAAAGACAATATTTTAACTCTGTTATATCCTTAATTTTGATATAATGACAATGATAAGTGCATGCCTTCAAGTAGACTCGCGCTAGGTGAGCTGGAAGACGTACAACTGTGTTTCACGTAATTCTGATGACACTCTGCTGTGTCCAGCAGGTATCATATGTGCGTTTTTTTTGGTTTACGAGTCACAGCTCCATTGAAGGAAAGTTGTATGAAAAGTGAATGTTTATCTCCGATCTCTTCAGCTTCTTCAAGTAGGGTAAAAATACTATGTTTTTAGCTTAAAATCGAGATGTGTTGTTCGAGCTCCTCGAAAAATAAATTAACTTTTAGGTTTTTGTCTCAAAAAAATTACGGAATCGAAGATATTTCCATTTTTTAAGGGACAAATCTTATTACATACTAAAATCTGATACCATTAAAAAGCTCTTGCTTTCAGCTTTCTAACGGTCTATAGTTTTTGTAATTTGGAGCAACTGGCCGCCTATAATCTGAATTTTACTGCAACCATATCAAGAAAGGAGGGGTATCGAAAAGGGCCTTTTTTGGCCCCCTCCTAGAATCTGGAAATTTATGCGGGTTTTCCAAGTTGACTCAATGTAGTTTACGGAAATAATCATGATTTCGCCCATAGGGCACTGAGTACGTGTTAAACGGTTGCCTAAACATAGGTCTGCAGGCGTATTTTGGCGAAAATTCGTGTTTCTCCATCACTCCGAGGCTTTTTTGACACCCAGCGCATCCTCTAACTAAAACGAGCTTTCGGTATGTTATTGAGGAGGCTTTAGGACACATTTTAACCATGGTTTGGTTTTAGTTAGATGATGCGCTCATAGTTAAAAAATTTTTTTTACAAAAATCGACGTTTAAGGGACATACGCAAAAATCTTAAGGAAACACGTCTCTCGAACTGTATGCACCCTAAGTATATTATCGAGGGCAGTTATCAAGCCTTGTTACACTCTTACAGGGAGATTTCCTTCAATTGTGTTCAAAAAAAAATTGAATTTTCCATACAAACAGCTGTGCAGATAACGGATTTTGGAGTAGAGGAGGTATATTTTCCCTAATAGCATAACATCAACTTAAATCTGGAAATTTATGCGGATTTTCCGGGTTGACTCAATGTAGTTTACGGAAATAATCATGATTTCGCCCAAAGTCTACTGGATACGTGTTTAACGGTTGCCTAAACATAGGTCTGCAGGCGTATTTTGGCGAAAATTCGTGTTTTTCTATCACTCCGAGGCTTTTTTGACACCCAGCGCATCATCTAACTAATACGAGCTTTTGATATGTTATCAAGGATGCTTTAGGACACACTTTAACTCTGGTTTGGCTTTAGTTAGATGATGCGCTCAAAGTAAAAAAAAAAACTTTTTCAAAAGTCGACGTTTAAGGGACCCCGGCAAAAATCATAGGGAACACGTCTCTCCAACTGTATGCACGCTATGTATATTCTCGAGGGCAGTTATCAAGCCTTATTAAACCCTAACAAAGAGATTTTCTTTAATTGTATCCAAAAAAAAAACCTAACGACGTAATTCCCTAAGATTTTTGCGGATGTCCCTTAAACGTCGATTTCTGTAAAAAAAAATTTTTAACTATGAGCACATCATCTAACTAAAACCAAACCATGGTTAAAATGTGTCCTAAAGCCTCCTCAATAACATACCAAAAGCTCGTTTTAGTTAGACGATGCGCTGGGTGTCAAAAAAGCCTCGGAGTGAAAGAGAAACACGAATTTTCGCCAAAATACGCCTGCAGACCTATGTTTAGGCAACCGTTTAACACGTACCCAGTGCCCTATGGGCGAAATCATGATTATTTCCGTAAACTACATTGAGTCAACTTGGAAAACCCGCATAAATTTCCAGATTCTAGGAGGGGGCCAAAAAAGGCCCTTATCGATACCCCTCCTTTAACGCCAACTCGGACGGCCGGTTTCCTTGAATTTATCTCTGCTGTTTTTGAAGTTCAGAAATAAAATATGTACACCTTTAAGAAGATCACATTCTCAGCTTTCTAATGGTATAACAATTTTTGAATTTTGAGCAACTCAACGCCGACACATGGGAATTTTTTGCAACCATGTCAAAAAACGAAGAAATACGGGTGGCTCCAGTCAAAGTCAATTTCTCACCGCCCAAATGCACCAAACTAAAAACACCAGCATGTCATTAGAAAGCTGAAATCGTCAGCTTTCAAATGGTACCTTGGTTTTTTTTGTAGCGTTAAAAATCTTGCGTAAAAAATACGAATCTCTGTCGGAGACGAAAACTTGTATTTTGGCTACTCTTTTTTGTGAGGAGGCATCTCTTAATCTTTCCCCCGTCATTTTTGGGGGGATTTCGGTCACTCTGAACATTACCTGAGGGTCCTGTGCCTCATGCAGGGTGTAAAAAAAGTCCATCCCACCCCTACTAACTTTTGGACGAATTGAGCTAGGGAAATGAACTAAGGGAATGTTCCTATCTCAAAGGAGACCATCTTTGGGGGGGTGGGGGGGGGTTAAAATTTTGGTCCCCCCTCAGAGGGGAACGGGGGCCCCCAACTTTTTTTTTTTAAATGGCAACCCCTATCTTGTGATACCTCATTCGAAAGAGCATAAAAAACTAAGAATTTTGGCTGAAACCGCGAATCAATACCTTAATTTTTGACCGAGTTATGATAGGTCAAAGGTCAAATTTGACCTAGCTTCAAAAAATCATAACTCCGGTTCAAATTATCGTAAAGAAAAAAATAAAACGGGAAAATTTACCAAATTGTGTTCGCTTTTGAGTAAAAATTGCAGAAATCACTTCGAACTAATTTTAAGGGTGGGTTAGGACCCCCAAATATGTCGATTCAAAGGTCATTCAATTTTCCCGCGAAATAAGCCAATTTCCCCTAGATTTGCCTCCACATTATCTCGGTAAGGTCAAAATCAGTTCAACATTACGTTGGCAAGTCCCCAAATTTCGGAAAAAGTTTAAAAAAAAACGAAATTTAAAGTGATTAAATTTGACCGTTTAAATTTCGTTTTTTTTTAAAACTTTTTCCGGAATTTGGGGACCTGCCATTTGAAAAAAAAAAGGTGGGGGCCCCCGTTCCCCTCTGGAGGGGGGGGGGACCAAAATTTTAACCCCCCCCCCTCACCCAAAGATGGTCTCCTTTGAGATAGGAACATTCCCTAAGTTCATTTCCCTGGCTCAATTCGTTCAAAAGTTACCAGGGGTGGGACGGACTTTTGTTACACCCTGCATAACACATTGTGAATCACACCTGTCTCAGTGAAAATTCATGGTTGCCAAATTTGGCCATTTATCATAGCTTTTACAAATTACCTAATGCAATTATCGTATTTTTGGCTATAAAAATGTGTCATAATCAGAGGTCAATAGAAAATAGAAAGCTAGAGTCTTCAAAAAAATATGAAAATGCTGTTCATCGAGTTTTTGTTTTCGATTATTTTAATCCTATTTAAGTAATTATTAATTTGTAATTAATTAATTAATTTGTATTGTGTAATTATTTAATAATTATAAAATATTATAATAGTATTATAATAATTTAATATTCATAGATTATTTTAGTGCAATATTTATTATTAATTTGTATTATTTTATATTTTTAGTGCATTACTCTACTGTATTGAATCTAATTAACTGAGACTGACTTTTTTGTAAGTTGTTCATTCTACGAGGGGTATTCGTAAAGTAAGTTAATATTTGTTATATCTTCTAAACTAATAAAGATAATTTAAATCTGTAAAAAGTTTGTGAATTTTTATACTCTCAGCTTTCTAAAAAGCTTCAGTTTTTTAAATTTGGTCTTCTGAGTGACGAAAGCCATCAGTTTTCCTACACCCGTCTCTCACCACTGTGTGTCCAAAATTTACGCGCGTCTTCAGGGGTGCTTGATGAGAGTCACTCATTTATTTCTTAGAAAGAAGCACAAATAGTGATGCAAACATAAACTGTGATGTCATGAAAAGGCTCAAATCAGCATTCAAAAGAAAATACCGTCGCCTTCTGTCTCGTCAAGTGATGCTGCTTCATGACAATGCTAGGCTCCATAAAGCTCATGTGACCAATCAGTTGTTGACCTCCTTAAAATGAGACCTTTCCCACATCCTCCTTATTCTCAGGATCTCACCTCACGAGAGTTATCACTTATTACCTAAGCTAGAGAAGAGTTCTGTGGACGACGATAAGGTGAAAGAAGCTGAAAAAAAGAGGTTGCAAAAACAGAATCGCCAGTTTTACGCTGATGGAATAAAAAAGCTCTTGTCATGGTATGTAAGATGTGTCCAACGAGATAGGGATTACGTGGAAAAGTAATGTCAGGTCTTCACAAACATGGAAATTTTAAATTTTAAACAAAAAATTTCATTTTGACAATTTGCAGGATGAAGTCGCATGCTACCGTCCTGTGACCTCCCCAGCGCGCGTCAATTTTGGACACGCGGTGGTGAGAGACAGGTGTGGGAAAATTGATGTCACTCGGCACTCAGAAGACCAAATTTAAAAAAACTGAAGCTTTTTAGAAAGCTGAGAGTATAACAATTCACAAACTTTTTACAGATTTAAATTATCTTTATTAGTTTAGAAGATATGACAAATATTAACTTACTTTACGAATACCCCTCGTATTGTGCTAGGTTTTGAGAGATTTCCTTGGTTTTTATGTAATAAATTAAACTTTATTTCTGTTTGTGGATGGGTTTGCTTTGAACAAATTGTACGGAATCGTCATATACCTCACTTGTTTCCCTACTAAAGTATAGAGTGCAAAAAAAAAAACCCTGCCGCAAGCGGCAGGGTTTTTCCGTGGGGTTGCCGGCAAGTAGGGGGCGGTTCTTTTTGTAATCCGCGCATTTACCGCGGCATGAGTGTATTTTCCGAAGGCTAGTGACACATTGGGGAATGAAATCATTTACCCTACCCCTCTTGCCACAGATATGTTTCAAGAAACAGTTCCCCTTGGCTGCGCAACTCCTACCCCCCCCCTCACCCGTAAAAACGGTAAATTGCCACTATTATGGAACGCGTTGGCCGATTTCGCTGAAATTCGATAGGAAACCAGTCTTAGTAGATATCTAACTACCATCAAAATTTCAGCTCAAAATATTCATTTTTACTCGAGTTATCGCGTGGACAAAATTAAACCTCCCCTCACTTTGACCCCTTGCTGTGCGAAAAGTAATTAACGTATTCCGATTTTTTCTTCACACTTTAAAAGTACTCTTAGGGGACTATAAACCCCAGAAGTTTCGTTTCAAGAAACTCAAAAATTAACTGCTACTCAACGCTCTGAAAACTGAAAAATCCTCACGCTGGCTGAAATACATACATACATACACCCTTACACACACACACACACACACACCCTCCCTCACACCCTCACACACACACACACACACACTCACACACACACACACACACACATATATATATATGACAGAAAATGAATGACATATATATTCGTGATCTACGACTCGAGATCGGTGCTCTTTACATGGTCCCAGGTCTAGGTCCCACCATGAGGGAGAACGCAATAGTGTATCTTTCCTTTGGAAAATACACTAAAAAAACGAATGGAGTCATTTTACCCTTTTTCGGAGGGCATTGGCAAAAACGCTGAAAGACGTGTCTGATGGATTTTCATGGAGTACAATTTGGTCGAATGCCAATCAATTTTGAGGAGACATGACTGTAAGGTCCCCTTGTTAGTAAAATTGAGATTTTGGGGTAGCCAGTGCAACAATACTTAAGGCAAAACTTACAGGAGCACTATCATCAAGTCTCCGTCTCAATTCGATCAAATGTTACAGGGGTGTCCTACGACTTAACTATGTTTAACATTCCTATGTTTTAACTGAAAAGACTGGTGTTAGTTTCAGTTTCATTGGTAACATAAACAAGCATTGAGTGTGTACTCTGCAAGATTAACTAATAGTGTTCTTACCACATTTGTAGACAGACTTTTACAAATATTTTCTTCTATTGAACCAGTGATATTATTCAGATACCTCCTCTTGAAATCACTTTCCTTGATGTGTCTATATCGAACTCTGGCGTCGGAATCATTTTGACTGAGAAAAGAGGATCGTAAATCAAAATAATTTGACAAGGAACATAATGAAATTAGAATTTTAAAAAAGGGCACCGATGATTGCTTTCCTACTTTTTGGCACGAGAGAAAGAAATAGTAAGCTTACTGAAATATCTTGAAAATGAATTTTCATGGAAAAATAACACTTGCTTGCCCAGATACAAAAAATGTGGCTGAATGAAACCATTGGATTGATTGCATGGAGGTATACACAAAATGGCAGAGGATTCTCCTTTCCTGGCATCACTAAGTCGCCATTTGAATGGCTGACATTGCACCTTAGGTTCACTTATCAGTTCATATCCATGATACCATGAATGACACAAATACAGCACAAACACAACTGGAAACAAAGAGAACATCTTGTTGCACAGTCCCGGGAACCACGATGGGAAAATCTAGAAGTAAATTCAACTTAAGACTACCCAGGGCAAAATGGACAAATACCTGTGGGTAAATACAGACACGACAGGAAAAAATAACCTGATTTTACCAGGTTTTCCCGGACCAAAATGACCAAGATTTCTGACTTTTCACATCTCCAATTTACACAGCTGAAAAATAAATTTTCGACACTGATTTCATGGTTTATCAAATTTCCAGTTGTCATCATCAGATACTTTCAAATACTTTGATTTCCCTGATTTGAGGAAATTTCCTCATAATTCCCAGAATTCCCGATTTTCTCAGTTTCCCAGACCTGCAAACACCTTCATACCTAACCTCAAGCCGCTTGTTAACCAGCAAATGCACAGTGGCAGAAAAAAATTGACAAAAGTAGACAATTTTACGTTTGCAATCCAACCAAGTTTTCAGCTTCTCGAATGGACCACTAGACAAGGTATGAATTTCGGCATTCTGATGTAGTAAAACAGGACCAGCACCGCAAAACTAACTGGAATTCAGACTTAAGCAAGATATTAACATTTTCATATAGCACGCATCACAGAAATTTGGATTTCCCGCTAACGCAAAAAGCCAGAGTTTACGTTAATCAAACCGCGCACTAAGACGGTTTTGGCAAACTTCTTAGTCAAGCAATTTTTTTTACTTGCCTGGTGTTATTCGAAATATACAAAAAGTGTAACAGCCGAGCCAAAACGCTGACATTGAGGTAGTCATATTTTTATATCGAAGAGACTGTCATGGTAACATTTAGTATGCAACTTAACTCAAAAGAATTATCTCTTTTTCATGAATGGGAAAACTAAATTGATGCATCAAAAATTAATATTGGAGTTGGGAGTTACTTTAAAGAATATTTTGGTGAATGGTGTTTTACCTGAAATTTTGAAGAGAAAACACACGTTATGCAAGTCACACTTTATCTAGTGGTCCATTATTCACTTTAGAACGACTTTCCTTTCGGACAGCAGTTGCAGTAAAATAAAAAAAATAATAATAATGTTAGCTCAACTCATCTGATACATTTGAATAATACATGAAAAAATTGGCTTTACTGACGTAATATGCAAAACTTAGGAATTCTGTGTTATACAAAAAGCATTTATCAAGAACCCCCTAAAGAAAAAGAAGTAGAGAAAAAAGTAGGCCCTTCGAATTCTTCCAAGAAAAATTAATTTTGCCAATTTCAAAATTATTCTGTTGGAGAATTTGCATGCTACGGCGATTTATTAACTGTTGCTTTATTATGGCAGGAATAATTGCTGAAAACAATGATGGTTTTCAATGCCTTTTGTGCCTTTTGAGCTTGGTAAAAGTCCAGTAAGTTAACAAATTTTTACTGGTTGTGCCTTAGAGAGAGGGCAAACATGGTAAACTCAGATCCAATACGGCGGTAGACCTTGAGGTTATCATTGCATCTGCTTGTGGTTAGAGCTTGTGCGATAATTATGAATTCAAGAATTAAGTGAGTCTGACTTGACACTCAACAGAATATTTATAGGCGTTTAGAGACGTCCTTATTAAGTGTAGGGTGGGTGGGTTGGTTTTGAACTTTCCCGTTTTGATTCAGGTTGAAATTTGTTGTTCTTATTATATTGAATGGAATGAATTTGAAATTTGGTCGGAAACCTAACCTTTGAAGATAATAATCCCTTTTGATTCCCTAAGAGAGAGGTTTCAGATCATGTATTCTAGGGGTCAATTTCTGAATCAACCCTGCAATATCTGACTTCGTCCAACCGATAATAACTGTAAAAAGTCTGGTATGAGTGGTCTGTAGGGTGCGGCTTATTTGGGAAAAGTCTGAAATGTTATGATGACACATCTTAAATCGGTTCCTTTACATGAAAAAACATACCCAAAAAAATTTCAGCTCAATATTCGACAATTTAGAGGTCGCTCAAAGGCCTGAAAGTTTACGATTTGGGCCAAATTTCGTAAATTTTTTTCGATATTGACGAATCTTCAGGACAACAAGTAGCAAAAGCTACCTGCTGAAGGGGCCCCCCCCCCCAGACCTCCCTTTAAAATTATATATGTGAGACTTTTAGTATCATAGAAGTCGTGCGGCGACACATGCCGGATGAAATGCCACAGTTAAAATTATTGGATCAGACGATGAGCTGATAAAAGCATTACCTAGTAATTTTGGAACATTTCTGACTGACAATTTGGTTGCTGTAACTATTACTTGATTTGCGAAATACAGTTTGTTTTCACTGGAGTTGAATGTAGTTTTTGCTTTTGACTGACTTAGTTTCTGATGGATTCAAACTCATATACATTAGGTTCCAGGAAAAGAAAAAATTAGTGGAAATACAGATGAAGTACACTTTACATGAATTTAGATTGATTAAACATAAATAATCCGAAGAAGTGATGGAATAAATGATAATTGTTTACGATAGTAAATACTATACTATACCTAGGATTCCTAGGAATTTTAAATAAAATCCCACCCATCACAAAAAGAATACCCATACATACTGGTGCCTGTTTTCGGCTCGATTTCACCAAATGGAATTCTTTATCATCGCGGTTGTCCTTGTTGCATGCGGGAGGAAATGAAGACGCGCTTGCAGTAGCAAGAAGCAGATGCGCCAGGTTGCTTGCGACGCGTGAATGTAGCTTATATACCTCCACAGATTCACAAACTGATGACGAGCAGCAGCGCAAAAAGTCCTGTACCTATGTAGAGAAAAGAAAGGAGGTGTTTGCATATTGAGGTTTGTTTACCCTGTGACGTAGGTCGGTACAACCTGGCCAGCGAAATCCGGAATTCGAAATATGAAAAACGGACCATAGTGTCCGATTTTTTTGCTAAAATCAACTCATGATATAATTTCAAGCATTTTTTAGAGAAATAATTTTTTCCATAAATTACACCATTTCCAAGAAAATCGATGATAAAACTCGTCGCATCGACGTACGTCATCAAAAAAAGTCCAAGATGCCCGAAATGCAAACACCTCCTCTTTTTTCTCTCTGCTATGCCTAAGTCCTGCGCCAGTTTACAGGTGAACGAATCGCAGGCAGAAAGAAAGTTGCAAGCAACAAACCTGGAGACGGAAGAGAGGGTCAAACGGCAAAAAATTCCGTGAAAAAAACCTCTGTCCAGTTATGCAAAGAAAATGACTGACGGAAGAGAATCGTGCAATTTCTTTTTTTTGAAACCCTGTGATTTTCTTACAACAGACTGCTAAGGCATTCACAACCCGCTAAGGGAAGAATTGGTTCGGTATTGTCCTGTATAAGAGTTGTTCCAACTTTTCACAATACGTTTGAAGTTCTGATTTAATAGGTGGCGAAAAAAGGGTATCTGGGTCCACCAAACAAATAAAGGGCGAACGAAAATTAAGTCAAAATATCTATTTATTATATTATTGCATACAACATGTCAAGGAAAAGAAAATATAATATTTTGGAAGTACCTAGGTAATACAATGTTTTGTTTTCATACATATGACATGGAGACAATAATGAATCGAATAAGATGGCTGGATAGAGGACCACTTTGAATTTTGAGAGCAGTTGCAAGGCAACTTCTTATTTAATAGTCTAGGAGACTATGCTCCCAACCGCTTTGCGGTCTAACCACCAGAAGCGCTTCGCGCCTCAGCCGTTTTGTGCGTTGCGCGTTTTACTCTAGTCATGTTATATTACAGAATACAGAGTATAAGATTTATTGATGTTGTTCCTTCGAGATTGTGATTTCAGGAAAATCGCAGATGTTGCCTCTGCCTTGGAACTGCAAAGTGCTATAGTGAGACTTTGATAGAAATGTAAAAAAAAATAAAAGAAAAGTGCGTTAATGGTTAATGAAATACTTCATTCACTTATTAGACCATGGGCCAGCAAGAGGTAAACCCCCCCCCCCCCCCCAGTAGGAATTTTGAAGATGGTGATTTTCTTGAAGCTCTTGACTAGCAGAATAAGATTTTTCTTGTTAACGCGAATTCTATCATGGTGGGGGGGGGAGTAAGCCCCCCCTAAACCCCCCAAAATTGCTCAGAATTCCAACTTTTCCCATTTTCTCGAAAAGGCTTGATTCTAGGGCAAAAATCTGACCAATCTGAAAGCTCGTGAAATTTCGGTTCGGTAAAGTTGTAAGTGACTTTGGCCATTACCCGCGGCCAACCCAAAATGAGGGGGCTTAAAATGTCAAAATATCTCAAATTCCCGCGAAAATGACCGTTTCGCCGCGATTTCTCGCTTATAACGCGAAGAAGGTTGGTAATATCGTGGGGGAGGGGGCAGGGGCCCCCCAGCAGTACCCACCCTATAAAAACCGTCAAGATTGGCCGCTTCCTTGAAGTAGCGTTATGCGCGAAAATGGGCGGCAATATGAAAACAAGTAAGTAGCGTTTGTTCTGAGAGAACGTCAATGTGACTCCTTGTGGGAGGTGATGGGGGAGGGAGGTACATCCTCCTCCCTCCCCCTTTCCCCAAAAAATAATCACGAAAAAGTTAATCAAACGCGAAAATTCCACTTTATACGACGACTTTCAGGGCTTGTCATTGACACGCTCACTCTAACATAATTTACCGGGGGGGGGGGGCAGGAGGGAGAAGGGT